GCCAAGTGGTGGGCACAGTGGGGTGGCCTAGCGCTCCAGAGGCTGCCGAAGCGGCGCGAGTCGCGGCGGGGATGGGGAGGATTTCGGGGCATTTGGGGATGTTTCCACTCAATCACTGAGGGTGAATTCCCCCCTAACCCGGGAGAATATCATATCTTGGAAGAATGGATTTTCCCGGTTCCCTGACTGCAAGCCATGGTCTTGGCGCCTTGTCGAAGCCTTGTCCTGTGTTGCTCAGGCTGGGGACCAAGTCAGCACAGGAGAAAGAGCAGCCAGAGGACTGTGGAGCATCGGTATTTGGCGGGGTTCTCCAGGTGTAGCTTAGGCAGATTCAATATACAGTCCCACTTACATCCCTCCTCCGCCCTCATGGGTGGATCAGGATGTAGGTATAGTGGATATCCATGCTTATTTCCCATGGGGAACGAATGGAAAGAGGGTTTATTTGGTGTGTTGGACATTTTGAGGCGCGGGAATCTTTTGAACCCAGGCGCGACACGGAAATGGACATGTTGGAGCGAATCACTTGAACCCCGGGTCGGGTTCCCCAGAACTACACTCTGACGAACACATCACATGGAAGTGGATGGCATGGTCCCTTGGAAGACTACTTTCCTTACGAACAGGGGGTTCTCCACTTCCATGTTTAGGGAGCCAAGAAGTGTTCTTAGTCGTCCCGGGTCAACACTTCCTGGTATTGGAAAGCTAATTCGACAAGACCCAAGAATCAAGAGATCAGGGAGAGGGCGGTGGGATTCCTTCCCTGGGTGGTGGTTTCAGACATGTTTTAAAATTGACTAAACTATATAGACATGGAACCTTTACTTGGGATGATTGCTTTACTTGGGATGATTGAACCATATTGAACCCACTGACTACAGTATTAATTCTTTTCAAGTGAGTTGACACCACCAACCAGCTTCTGATTTTTGTCCAAAACAGTATCCATCAGCTGTTGACTCATGTGATGTGTTTTTCCCCAGCATGGTGTGTTTGGCGTAGAACACACCAAACAACGAGTCAGTAAGCATCCCATGTGGAACGTTCACAAAGTTGCAGAGACTCCAGCTGAGTCGTTCAATGACCTTTGCGGAGTCGTTCGTGACCTCCAAACAGGTCTGTTGGTGAGCTGAACACCAACCAGGGCGGTGAAGTTCGGTCATGAACGGAAGAACCAGTTGACTCAAGTTATCTCATGATTTTTTAAACCAAAAAAACTGAGTAGAGGACGCTACTAGGAGCAAAGGGCATCGCTACGAACGGAGCGATCGGACGCTACGAACGGGGCTACTGGCCTTACCGCTATCTGTGCCACTGAAAGCGCTCCAGGCGCATCGGCACCTGCCCGGCAGGACATGGTTCTCATCCCTCGCAGCGCGTTGTCTGGGGACATTTGGCTCCCTGTGCCACTGGGCGCCGTTGGACCAACTGGCGACGGCTTTCTCCTCACTGCAACAGTTAAAAGAGACATTAAATATCATTAAATCAATAGTTACATATTTATTGATATCCCCTCTCTAGAAGTCTGCGGATGTTCTGCCGCAGAACCAAATCAGAGAGGATCAGGATCGACCTGGTTCAGCAGAGAAACAAAAGGACACAGATCCAAATCCCATGATCAACACCCCTAGCGGTTATATATGGACTATGGCCCTAGCATGCTATCTGAGGCTTGGAATGGCCATGGATGGCATTTCTTGGCTGTTGGGGGGAGATCATGTGGGGGATCCTGAGCTCTTCCAAGCAATCTACCCATCTTAACCAAACATTGAGTTGGTATGAATTGGTACAGCTTGCTTGTAGAGTATGACGGGCACAGCTCGAAACCGATCCCCGATCTTGAGATCTTGAGGTTTTGCTTGCCCTTCTGCTGCATCAACGGCCACCATCACGTCATCAGTCGGGGCCTCATCCCCCTTTTTGCAGCCAGTCCACCTGTCTTTGCAGTGATTCGATGGTGAGACTCAGTGTCTCAGTGGTGGTTGACTGAGGTGAGACTCAGCTGCGCTTGTGGCATGAGGATGAACCCAGGACCTGAAAAACACGCGCAGACCGCAGACCGGATATTTAGTCGACAGGTGAGACTGCGGAGTATTCACAGAGGGAGCTGGCCAAACATGTTGATTGGAAGAAGCCACGAAAAATCAGAAACCGATGTGATAATTGATGACACCCCAAACACACCCACAGAGAGAGAAATGAGAAATAGCGAGAGAGAGAGAGAGAGCGAGCTTGCGCCATGTGAAGCGGTATTATTTTTTTTCGTCAGATGGCAGCACACAAACCCGACTTTTGCAGGTAGAACTGGTGAAGTTCTTGAGGATGTGTGTTTTTTTTGCAAACTTTTCCATCCACAGAAACCTCCGTAGAGAGAAGGCACTCATTTATTTGGCCCACCGACTTTCTGGCCAGGACCGAGACGGATTTCCCGTCCTGCTTCTGACCGGTTCGCCGGTTCCGCTGACGGAACCGAACAGGGCGGCCTGCGGTCGTTTCCGTTGACCTAAGACCTAAGACCTCCAAAGAATGAGGTTTTTGTCTCCACCGGGTGGCAGGCTGCGGCAGCGCCCACCCGGCCAAATGTGCCAATGCTCACTTGTGAAGAACAATGTGCGTGAAAAAGAGCTGCGGAGAGAAAGCTTCGTGGCCAAAAGCATATATTAGTCAAAACCAGGTGTATACCCTACAAGCTGGTGGCCAGAAGTCGCAGCCCTTGAGCTAGTGATGTGTCCATGTTCCAGTGTTTTTCTTCAATCCTGTTTGGAAGGATACGTGTTGGAGACAGGTTTTCTCTTTCACCACTTGGTAGCTTACTAATCCAAGACAGGGGCCAAGATGGAAGTGTGAATCATGAGACTCCACAGGGCCAGGGCAGCTGGATGACTGTTTTGCATTGTTTTGCCTCAAAGATGGCTTCATTTAAGAAGCTGCAGCGACTGAATACGATTGAGCCACTGCAACTCAATACAAGGCAGTCTTTCTCCTCAAATTGATTCCTGAATTTCATCCTGTCCCTACAGGTCAGGAACTGACCCCTACAGGTCAGGAACTTGTCCCTACAGGTCAGGAACTGACCCCATGAAATGCTGGACTTGATCCTACCCCATTTGATCCAAGGAGGTTTTCAAGACCAGGGGACCTGGGTCAGACTGGACTTGTGGGGTGCAGTTGATCATGACCACTCTGGAGCACGCCCGCCTCCGAGGATGGATGCCTATTGCAGCCGCCTGGGTCTTCAGGCAGGGAGTTGGGGGAAGATCTCGCCGAAGGTGACTCGATGTAGCCATCAACGATGTCCAGGAGGTACCTGGTGTCTTGACAAAGCTTCCTGGATGTGGGTTCCATCTCGACAAACCGATGCTGTATGATCATCTTAGAGCAGCGCTAGCGGATGGGGGCTGGGGCGTTGATGGTGAACATCATTGGAAAGGTTTCCTCGAACTTCTGTACAGACGAAAAGATGAGAAAAGTAATTCTTGCATCCCACTGGAGTCCATGCTCTTCCACCAGCTCTTTGCATTCGTCGATTCATCGATCGATTTATATATGATGATTGATTCATTCTGTCATTCTTTGTGGGCTGGTGTCTCTTGCTTCTTCAATGCCCACCTCAAAACTCAATTTCGCCGCTTCGCCTTCTTTAGATTCCTTCCCCTCCAGGGCGGCGTGGAACCCTCGATGCCTCCCCCTTTCCTTCGGTCGCACTTTCGGGTGCGACCTCAAACCCTTCGCACCCGAACCCTCCAGGCGTCCCAAGTGCGATTCATGGTGGATGGCGAGCGCATTGCTGCGGATGACACGGCCGAGAAGTTGGGACTCGAGGACGAGGACGGCGCCCGATGGCGGTGAACGGTGAAGGAGGAAAGACTCCGGTGAGGGTGGGCCCCTCTGGGGGTTTGGATCGGAAAAGCATCGATGGATCTGAGATGATCCGATGATGGCTTTAGTAAGACCATCTAACAGGACCATCCTGTCCGGGTGTCCTGGCCTCCAATACCCAGCCCACTACTTAATTAGAGATGTCCAGGCAGGACACGCAGACAGGATGCTCCGGGTATGAAGTTTTTATGACGCACAGATGCTTTTGACATATCTTGACCAGATCACTGATGATCCAGTAACTCTATACGCGTAGTATTTGTTGGCCTGCCAGGCATATCGGAGTTGGATGATGAATGAACTTGGATGCCCGTTGGTTCCTGTACACTTTTCCTAACACAGCAGCAACAGCAACACCCTCCAAAAAAACATACAAAGACGCATATATATATATATAATATATATATATATTCAGATCTTTCCCGCGATTCCATGATTCCTGGTGTTTGGGGAGAAATGACTTCACACGCACATTCCAAGCATGTCCGTTCGCCCTGGACGAGGACCTGATTGATGTCGCAATGGAGCAAACTGGAGGACGATGAACGAGTGAAAGCACTCGAGCGATCTGAAAGATGCCAGCTTCGTTCCATGTGGCACTCACAAAAGTGGTTGTCAATCAGTCATTGGTTGATTTAGAATCATGTTTTGCTTGCCAAGCTCCAGTCAGTTTCAGTTCCACTTTCAAAGGATCGGAGAAGGAGTGTTTTGCCCGAGACTTGAATCGGTGCCACCGATCAAGACTGGTCTCTATCAATGTTCAGGTCAGGGGAGGCAAACCAACTGTTGTGGCATGCACGAAGGTTGCGGATATAACAGCAGTGACGAAGGTTGCTGTATTCTGGAGCGAATCAGATGTGCTTTGGAAGCGGCAAGCAAAAGTGTGCCTTTCCGAAGATGGTGCTTTCAAGCCGTGCATGTCTCCATGAAAGTTGCCACGGAACAAGGCCTTCAACCTTCAAAGTAGCAACACCCAGATTCGTAGTGTTCACGCATCCATATGCCAATCCCCAAAAGACCTGCGATTCGCAGTTGACATCAGCAGTTGACCTGCCATCATCCTGCATCTCCGCCTTCATCCATGTTTCGGAGCCCCATCCTCGACCCGCTCGGTAGATCAGGCGCTCCTTCAGCTGGAAGCCGTCGAGCCCCACGAGCTCATCTTGCGTGCGAAGGCGTGGGACCGCGCGAGACGCCGAGGGCGCCGGTCCTGAGAATTCGGCCGGTCCTGGGGATCTGGGCGATCAGCCTTTACGGTGACCGTCTCCATGTCGTGTCTTTCCTCCTGAAAACGGGGTGGTAGAAAGGGAGCGGCTGCGCGAAGTGTCTTTGCGGCGCGGCCCCGCAAAGACACGCCGACAGGTGCTGAGCAATTTGGGCCAATGCTATCTCGCCACCGAGGAGTTTTCCGAGGCTGAGAAGCATTATATGGAGGCGAGGGTGTCCCAACAACGGAGATGAGGCAGATTCTTATGATATATTCTATGGCATAAAAAACATATATATATATATAAAGGTATTCAATTTTCCGAGTCCTCTATTCATGGTCACGCGGCTGCGCCATCAACTCTAAAAACAGTGTAATTCGACTGTAATTCTTCTACTTTAAGACACAGGCATGCAGATGCACATGACTGTTGGCGCAACCACTGGAGACCTTTTGCATGTGGCATGCATCGTTCTCTATGCTTTTCTCCTCTCTTGACCATGTTTCAAGAGGAGACCTTGGATGGCACGTCCCGACATGGGTGTCCCAGACCTGGACTACCCAGCCCACTATCGGGGATCTCCGTGTCCAGGGCATGGCATGGTCTGGTCTACCTCAACATGGTCTGATGGATGTCGCCAGGCCTACAGCCTCTTCTCTCGAACAGTGGGGAAGCGATCCCCACTCTTTGGGATGCAGGCATGCTGCCGGGCTTTCTGCAGCCGAAATCGAAGGGTCTTGAAAAGACTCGGGGGAGGGACCTCTCGCATGCTCTACTGACTGTAGCTATACCCTAGAAGTCCAATTTCCATTTAAAGGAGATTTCTTTTCGGGTCATCCTAAGACCATTGTTTAAAATACATTGAAATATAGTCTTGGACTTCCAGGGTAAACATATCACATTCGGCTCTACTAGAACTTTCTAGTTCCGGAAAGTCTCTGAGATTTGCTGCATCGATTGGACTCGATTTTCAAGACCTGGACCGGACCAACTTACGCTTCTATGGGCACTAGTTGAAGGCTTCATGTGTTCTTCGCTCCCAAGCTGTGTCATTATTAGTTTTATTAACTTATGATGGGAGTGGATTGGCTCACTACAGGATAAGAGTGACTTCGCCGATGAAGCTGTCCCACAAAGTGTTCTGTTCCTTGTGAGGATTGCTAAAAGAGTTTCTTACTTCTGAATGACTGGGTGACTGAATTCCAAAATGTCCAGCCGCTGTCGCTGACGTGTCTTGTCCACCCTCTATAAGTGTCGGAATTGTCCTGCTTCTGTCGCGCTTCTAATCTCAGCTTTCCCCAGATAGCCACAACTATAGGGGTTCCTGATGGTTCCTGCGTCCTACTTTTCAATGGCTGTCCCCTACTCCCTGTGTGAGCAACATGCTATCTGGATCTATCTGGGGTCTATGCCGGTTCTCGATCTTAAGCCCGTGAAGCTGAGCTGACAAAAGCACGACCGAAAGCGCCTGCGCAACGCCGTGAAAGTGAAAGCACTAATGCCAATGCCCAAACGGTGTTGAACCAGATTGAATTAAACAGGTGGAGAACAAACTGGCCTTCTGGGCCAGGTCCAGCCTGTAAAGCACCAACGAACCGATCCCGGTACTTGCCAGTGGCATCCAGAACGCTGCCCGCCAGGTATCTCAACCCTTCTGCCATGGAGGGGCCATTTGGGCATGATTTTGCTGGGTTCTTCCCTTCAGGGGAACCCACGCCACAGTTTTTATCCACCCGTCGAGGTGTGTTTTGGGCTGTAGTCTGCGCCACTTGCAGTGAAAGCTGAGCCTCACTTAGATTGAAACTCACTGTTTGTTGGCACCAACACGTCCTTTACTGAAGTGGTGTCGGCATGTTTCGGCCTTCTAGATCTAGATTCTAGATCCCCCATTCAGCTAACATAGATGCTCTTTCGAGGTGGAGTAGCAATTATCTCAACCTTTTTCTGAAGACTGACACTCGGGACATTGGCAACATGTCGCAAAGCTCCATGGAACCCATCTGTGGGATATAACAAAACACCAAGACCTTTTTGGGGGGCCAGGCTGTAGCAACTCGCCAACTCAACTATCTCAACTGGGATGCATCATATTGATACATTTTGCTCAAGTTTGCATTCCACGAGCACTGGGCGTATTTTCAGCAGCGCGTTTCCAGTGCTGGTGCATGTCATGGGCTGTGTGGCAAGTGCCAGGGCGACCATGCGCTGTTCAAAGGTGATTTCGTTCGATGAAGCGGTGGGCACCACAGAGATCATTCCTTCCCCGAATCCTTTGAGGTCTGATCAAGAAGTGGAGCACAATCCTAGAACACTTGAGTCTTTGAAGATTGCAGTGGCAATCTCTACGGAAGACCAAGTAGACTTTGATGACTCCGAACTTGACGTCTACGGTCTCTTGCCGCGCCTCTGCCTCCCGGACGCCTTGAACATGAAGTCAACAGCTTGCAGGTCGCGCGCTTCTCTGCCGCAGCCACACGGACTCCCCGACTCTTCCAAGAGCTTGTCCACAGAGCTCGAAGATCGGACGAAGAGGAGCGAGATGCTCGAGACACTTTTCGGGACAACTGATGGGATCACCATGGATCACGCCTGGCGGAGAAGGACCTGAATCACGCGCGCCACCTCTGGCGTCTCGGGGCGGTGCTGGCGCTCTGCTTCATGTTCGCATTTTGTGAAGCTCTTCCAGGCCTATGGCTTTCCCTTTTTTTCGATCATATTCTTGAATATGATGAGCCTTGCCTCTAGACAGCAAGTCACTTCAAGTGAAGTTGACAAGCTAATGATTATATCACGATCCAAATGCTCCATGCAATATACGTCATAGTGATAGAATGTCATCAATCACATATTCATTTGTACCTGTGCTACTTATATATGTGTTGATGGGGATGATGATCAGGAATCATGGATGATCTACAACATTCACACCTGAAATCATGGAGCGTTTGGGATTCTGATAAAGACAGTTGACGGGCAGTCGACCAGTCGATGTTTAGTGGTGAACCACTGCCCAACACAATCAAGCGGGTGCAGCAGTCCAATTGGGCACTTCAATGTATGTGAGATGTGCAACAGGGTTTCTTGTTCCAGAATAGTATGCCATGAATTTGAGATTGATTTGTTTTGCAAAAGACGTGCTGCCGAATCAAACAGCCTGGCTCTCGTATATTCCGCGTTCTGCCGCTGTTTGGCGCCACCATCTTCGGCTTCGGTCGGAGATCCTGTTGCGTTCCACGAGCCCTGTGGAACAGCAGGAAGACCCTGGTCATGAATGCAATGCAGGATACAAGGATTTGCTGAAGCAGGGGGGTGTGCAAGCATGGGATGTATAACTGTTATTAACTGTTCATGTAGACTCTTCCTTGCTAAAATCCCTCCATTTGAAGAGGTTCTACAATTCACCACCGCTGATTGGGCTCAGTTTGGTTGTTTCATCTCCAATTTGCAATGGCAGAAGGGTGCTGAACTTCGCATTTCATATAACGAGCTTGCTGTTTTGTTTGCCTTGCGCAAATTTAAATGTGAATGCCTCAATGACGAGCTGTGTACCTACGCCCAACTCACCGGGTGGCTTAAAAATGCCTTTGCTGTTTGTCGACGCCATGTTGACGTGACATTGTTCCCCGGGGAGCATGCAGGCCATGTCGCGCATACATGGGGCAAGTCCATGCCACCTGGTGCAATCTGCGGTGGCCGTCCATGGTTTTCCGATGATGAGTTGCATTTTTTGGTTGCCATCTCCAAGCGTGTTGCTGGTTCTTCAATGTCGCAATGGCGCTTCGCTGTCCGAGATTCGTTGGTGTGACTTCGTTCTTTTTGTACAGTGGACATTTTCGTATGCCATGCAGTGGAAAGCTGCTGGCAACGCGTGAACCAGAGTGGGAGCTGATCGCGCGAGTGAGGTAGAAGAGGTTCTACAATTCAATGGGGGTGGTGATTAATCAAGAGTTTATTGACAACACATTGCATTTTTGCAAGTGACTTAATATATACTGGACCCATTCCGTTGTCTTGTACTTTCTGGACTTTTCATGACCTTTGTTCACTCTCCCTATTCGGCACCACCAGTGGACGCTCCTCCTGGAAAATATCTCTCATCGCTCGATCGATGTTCCCAATGCTGGGAGTCATTCTTTGGACCTCTTAGGTTGGAGGCCATCGCTACTAACAGGTTGGAGGCCATTGCTAGTAGGTTTGAGGTTGGAGGCCATCGCTAGTAGGTTGGAGGCCATCGCTAGCACGTTGGAGGCCATGGCTTCCAAGCTTTGAGGTTGGAGGCCATCGCTAG